GGGAATCGAGGCAGGGCGCCGAGGTCCTGGTGGTCTCGAATGTGACGTACATTCGTGTCCTGGGCTGCACCGGAAGGAGTGAGGCCGGCAGGCTGAGGGAGGGGATTCTGCCCCTCTTCCCCTCCCCCGTGAGCCCCCACCTGCAGGGCTGTGTCCAGGTCTGGAGCCCCCAGTACAAGAAGGACAAGGAGCAGAGTCCAGAGGGAAACCACAAAGGTGATCAGAGGGCTGGAGCACCTCTCCTTTGGAGACAGGCTGAGGGAGTCGGGGCTGTTCAGCCTGGAGAAGAAGAGAAGGCTCTGGGAGGACCTTATTGTGGCTTTTCAATACTTAAAGGGGGCTTATAAGAAACACAGGACTAACTTTTTAGCAAGGCCTGTTGCAAGAGCACAAGGGGTGATGGTTTTCAACTAAAAGAATGTAGACTTAGACTGGGTATTAAGGAAGAAATTTTTTTTACAGTGAGGATGGTGGAACACTGCAACAGGTTGCCCAGAGAGGTGGTAGAAGCCACATTCCTGGTCAGGTTGGAGTGGACTTTGGTCAACCAGATCTACTTGAAGATATCCCTTCTCACTGCAGGGGGTTGGACTAAATTATTTGTAAAGGTCCCTTCTAACCCAAACCATTCAATAATTCTGTGATTCAGTATGTTTTTCGTTGTGTTTGGCCTGAAGTGAGCACTACTCTACTCCCCTGTTAGTGTGGCTGGCATTTCTCTGCTAGACTCACGTACTAGCTGCTGTTTCAGGGTACTACTGGAGAAGTGACTGGATAATGTTCCTTGGGCAGCTTGGCCATACAAAGAGAACAGGAAAGCTAGTTGGTCCCAGCAGGGACCACAGGATCTACTCTGTTACTTGTATTTTCCTGCAACTCCCCTGCCATGGAATCCCCTGCAGTAAACTGATGACCAGCATTCAGCATGAGCTGGTGAACACTTAGTGGGAGCTGTTTGGCCTTTTGCCCGAAGTGCCTGTCCCAGCAAAAGTCCCCAGACATGTGAAGAAGCAGGATAAAGATACATGGAACATCTCCTTGGATACCAATTGTATCACTGTGAATAAGGAAGGGGCAAGTAAGTGCAGGCTAAAAGACTCAAAGTGTTGTAACGTGTTGCAAGGATGTCTTCCTATGCACTAATGCACCTTGAAGCAGAGATGGTCTGATCTCTGAGCAGTGTTTCTAGACCACTTGCTCTGGGTGGATAGGCCATGCAACACAATATTGTTAACAGTTTTTCAAATCATGGAGACTTGGAGCTTTATGAAGGATCATTGCACAGTGGGTAATGGCAAGACTATAAGCTGTGCTTTGCATTAATAACAACATTTGTCTCGAACTGCACAAAATCCAGGTTAGCCAAGGGTCAGCCCAGGAGCATCCTCAGAGCTTCAGGAGCTCTCAGTGCCTCAGGAGTCTTGCTCACCATGTAAACAGCAGAGTCATCCCCACCTTGTTCCTCTTTGGCGTGTTATTTTATATTGTTCTTGTCACCAAAAAGAATTTGCTGCAGGGCAAATTTTGGTTGTAACCATCCAGTGTTTCTACACAGGTCTGAAAGCAGAATAGGCTGGTTTGGGTTCATTCACAGTTTCTTTTCTTCTTTGGGGCTGTTATTAGCAGCATGCATACTATCCACTTTTAATTCCTAATCCTTTGTCCACAACAACAGACTGAGCAGAGGGAGAATGCTTAAGGGGATGTGATGGTAACACTATGGCCAGGCACATCCCTGTTATGTCCCATGTCACTGGAGAGGAGCACAGCTGAGGCTTTGCAGATTGGCCACGCTTCATGAGGCTTAGGATCTTCTGACATGACAATACTGGGCTTGGTGGGACAGTGTTACTGCCTCAGCCCTGACTGCTTTCTCTCAACAGTCCTTATAGCAGCCTTCCAGTACCTGAAGGGGGCTACAGGAAAGCTGGAGGGAGACTGTTTACAAGGGTGTGTAGTGATAGGATGAGGGGCAATGGCCTTAAAATAGAGCAGGGTAGATTTAGGTTAGACATTAGGAAGAAGATCTTTGCAATGAGGGTGGTGAAGCACTGCCCAGGTTGTCCAGAGAGCTGGTGGAAGCCCCACCCCTGGAAACGTTCAAGGTCGGGCGTGAGGAGACTCTGAGCAATCTGGTCTGGTTAAAAAGGTCCCTGTGCACTGCATGGGGGGCTGGACTAGATGATCTTTATAGGTCCCTTCCAAGCCCACACATTCTAACAGTATCTGCTGACTTAGAGCTGACTTGGAGGACATTCACGTTTTTCACTTGGTACTTCTGTCACACCAAGAGCTCCACAGAGTCTTTAGAAGCATTACCAGACTGGTTAACCTCAAACTGGTTATGAGATCTTTGGAGGACCAAGTTCAGAGGGCTAGAGATAGCAGGAATTATTTCTTATTTTGTGGTACAGAGTTTCAGCTGCCAAGCGGGAACAGAGCTAATCTGTTTCTGCTCCACTGGGCGCTCTCCCTTGCCTCTGGCCAGTTCAATCCATTCTGTGCTCAGTTCAAGTATATATCCATCAGTAGTGTAAGTAAAGCCCATTGATTCTCTTATTGCTAGAGTTGGGAGAAAGAGTTTGGGAAGGTCCCGAGCTGAGCAGCAGGGCTTTTTTTTTTAGTATCTCAAAACCACCTTATTCCATCCAGATGTTGCCATACCCCTCCTTCTGTGAGGTCAT